GGGCCATGATGGTTTGGATTTTTTTCTCCTTTAATAATAAACACCTTCATTTACAAATTGCATTTTGTGTTTACTTGTGTTGTCCTTGAATATTGTTTAAATTGGTTTGATGTTCCGAAACACTTAAGTGTGACAAACATGCAAAAAAACAGCAAATGAGGAAGGGGGCAAACACTTTTTCACACCACTGTATTAGTGGACCTACAATTTAAATTTAAAAAGTGCAAATCCACTTATGAATTATAAAAATTAGTAAGACTGCTAAAGTGCAAACAAAATGATTAGGTCTGCAATTAGCAGATTTGCGCTTTAGTGGACTGGTGCCCACCACTGACTAGCTGTATTATATTTTTAGCTTTTAAGTCAGAGATGGGCAGTTTTGAGGGTTTTCCAGGAATAAACTTATAGCTTTTAATACAAGTCATCACAACAAAATTTTGGCAGCTGTCAGCTCCTCCCTCCCTGGCTGCTCCACAGCTGATTAAACTGAGCTGCAGCTCATTTTAGGAGGATCTCTCTTGGCCTTTAAAAGGAGATCATTTCCACTCAGACCTTCGCTGGAACATACTGTTCACAGCCCCTAAACTATTTGTTTAGTATTTTGTAGCTCGCAGTTTTTGCCTTCTCTTATCTGTCCAGGGTTATTGCCAAGTCTCCTGTTGAAACCTCCTCGTGCCAGGCTCTGGAAGTTCCTGACAAACTCGCCTGCCTAACCCACCTGTCCTGTCTTGGAAACCACCACTGACAACTGGTACTCACCTGTTGGTCAAGGATTGGGATCACTGTCTATTTGGATTTCAGGTCTAAGCTCCAAGTCTCCACCAGACCCAGTAAGACGAAGCCTCATAGAACATTTACCCTTCAACAGTACAAGTTTTCTAAACCCCATCTTACACTCCTCAGGTCCTGATCAGTTCCAGTGTTCACATTTGTAAATAAACCATTTCTTAGTGAAAAAATGCCAATGTTCCGAATTTCAATTTCCTCCTCACCTCTTTTTCCATCTGAAACTTCACCCAAGTGTAATCTTACTCCTCACAGGCACACTGCTGAACTGTGATTCTCGTCAGAATTATGTCCAGTTTGCGACTTATATCCCCCAGCATCTGAGTCTGTGCGTTTCCAGTAGAGGAGACTCCATCCAAGGTTCATGACAGCTTCTCACAGGCCCGCACTGCTGTCAGGATCGCTTTCAATTTCCGATAAGCCAGAACTCCTCCACAGCCGATCAGCAGGAAGGCAGTTATCATAAATCCATATGTACAAATCTTCCATGTCTTCAATGGAAAGCGGCACCAAACAGATCAGGTTCCACCCCCAAGACCCAGACACTCGCCCGGCCGCCACCATTCCCTCGCTCCAAACTCAGTGTGGAAAAAATAGTGTTGTGTTCAGAGACCAGTTGACCAAATCCATAATTCCTTTTGTTTTCAGATGATAGGTAGAAGAAAGGCTTGAAAAAGCTGCAAAGCAGGGAAGGATGGACAGGTTCGGGAGAGAGAACAAAAAGCTTCCGACTCCTTTGAAGGCCAAGCAAAAAAAAAAAGAAGAGATAATCACATGATTTTGGTGTTTATTTTGTAAGATTTTTAATGTTTTTGATTGCAAAAACAACTTGAATGCATTTTCCGGATGCATAAATAAAAATAAAAAAACTGAACAATAAGTGGTTTTAGTAGCTAAAGTAAATTTGAAAACAGTTTGCTGTCAGATGACATGTCGAGTCTAAATTCTTAAAACATTTTTCATCCATGTTTATAACATTCTTCTGTGACGCAGACACTTGTTTGTTTAGTTTGTGAACAGGAAATATGTGGGGAAGGGCTGAAGAGGAAGTAAAGACAGTTATGTCAAATATACACATAGTAATGTTTGGATTAAGTCAAATAAACCACTCTCTCTGTGTGTGTGTGTGTGTGTGTGTGTGTGTGTGTGTGTGTGTGTGTGCGCGCATGCGTGCATGTGTGTGTGCGGGGGGTGTTTCTGGTGACATTTGGCGACAATTTTAAGATGAAATGCCTACATTTGGGGACAACTGGTGCATTTGGGATCAAAAGTCAAGTCCCCATTTGGTTTAAATGCCATTGGTGGGTTGGGGGGTTTGGTTTAGGACCAAAGTGTGAATTGAGTTTAGGTTAGTTTTAGGGTCAGGTAGGTACCTGTGAGGTTAGCCTTAGGGTTTGTGGTCAGGGTTAGGATGTAGAAATGTAATGGAAGTCAATGGAATATCCCAATTAGATAGATGTGCAAACTTTTGAGTGTGTGTGTGTGTGTGTGTGTGTGTGTGTGTGTGTGCGTGTGTGTGTGTGTTTGGAGACAGGCTGTGTATGAACACACCCTCCCGCATCTAGAGCAGACTGAAGTCATTTTCTAATGAGAAGAATATAAAGACGTGTTTGTTTCAGATGAATCAAACTCCGATCATCAGCCATATGCATAAAACCTTCATCCATGCTGCAGTTCGCAGCCTCAAAATCTGTTGTTTTTTTTTTTTTTGGACTTTCTTCTGTCCTTATTACAAATCTGAAGCCGTCCAAGTTTGACACAATATTTTCTTCAGTTCCATCAGTTTTTTACTTCCATGTCATAAATAGTTAAAGTTACAGGTATTAGAAATGACTGAGAGAGGGTTAAATATCAACTGACATTTAAAGACTACCTTCTCCGCTGGTTCAGGAGATCAGATCAGCTACTCCCCAGAATCAGACCCAAATCTCTGACCAGGAGATGTAGAGCAGGAAGTAAACAGGAAGCATGGAGAAAAACATTTACACACTTTTTAAATTACCATCATCATGAGATTGCAAGGCCACTTAAATGAAGGAGAATGAGAGCAGATAAGACTGAACAGGAAGTTAAATGTAATGAGACACATCTGCAGGAACATTTTACATAAGTGGTAGTTTTGAGCAGTGATTTTCTTTGTGCTTTTTGAGATGCTGAAATAAAATGCACAATATTCTGGGCTTCAAAGCCTCTGCAGTGGCTCGTACAGAAGAATCTAGAATTTTTTTTTTTTTAATTAGTACAAGAAAGAAGTAGCAGAGCAGGACTTGGTAATACTTTGGGAAGGAGGATTTCTGCAGCCTTGACTCAAAATGCTGTAGAAGTTCCTCTGGTTTATTGACAATAGTTTACCTCTTTGCTTTGTCTATTGTTGCTAGTGTAGCCTTTTCTATTGCAAACTTTTAACTGACATACTTGTTTACACAGAAATCTTAAATTAATTTTCTAATCAAAGTTTAAAGCTTAACTTGAAGTGTGTAAAAGACGTGTGAAACAACAAAGCTGATGGGTTAAACAAGATGCCAGAGCAGTTTCTCTCATGTTCCGGGTGTAATTTTCTTAATTATTTCTGTTGCCCATGGGAACCATGAGAGTTTAATTTGCACAGAGGACAGGCCTGTTTGTTGCAATGGAGCTTAAAGGGAAAGCAAAAAAAAAAGTGCATCTGTTTGAAGAAGTCACGGTTTATCCTGAAAATCTGGTTGGATTAAAACGTGACAGAATAAAATCTGAAATCTAATCCTCGCTTGTGGTTTTTGTTTCTGTGAGAGGATGTTTAATTAACATTAAAGGCACCAAACAACAATATAATTACTACAAACTTATTAGCTGCACACATATTTAGTCTTAACGAGTCATTTATTGGTTCCAGTTCAGATCTTCATACACTGATTAAAACTTGCTCCTGGAAAAATTTGAACTTAAACAAGAAAGCATTCCTCAATAAACAGCCCAGACAGATGTTTTGGTCTGACCCGCTTTCAACTCTCGGCATGACTCATCTTCACTAAAGTGGAGCTGGAAATGGCTAGTCTGTTTCTTACTGTACTAAAATTAAAAAAAGAAAAGAAAAGAACTACAAAGCTTTATTAAACTGTGACTTTCATGGATCCAGAGGTGGAACATTACAACCAAACAGAAACATGTGAGAGGAGCATCTGATCTTTTTTTTTCTTCAAAAAACGCTTGTTAAAAATAGTTTTACACAAATCAAACAGCTTTAAAGTACATCCAGCAAAAACACAGAAGGTCTGCTTGGAGCATATTTTAAATTCCTTACTTTTTTGCAGCTGCACTCCTGATTTCAGATACAAAACAGTCAGATCTCTGTTAAAGACTTTCATTGTTGCCAGATAAATTGACAGCGGAGTCTGAATTTAACTTTATAAGCTGTGAACAGACAAACGCAAACTTTAGATTAAACCTGCACAAGTTGAATTCCTGCTAAACTCAAGCTGCTAAAAATCAAACAGTCTGTTTCTGTTTTGTATGTTCAGATTTGAAAGAATAACCATTCAGAGCAGCCGAATCATGACTGAAAACATAAACTTATCATGTTATATCAGCTTTAACAGACTGAATCTTTTATAGTGGAAAACATTTTTAATAAGTATTTTTTAAGCAATTATGCAAGTTGCTCAATTTCCCCCAGCAAGTTATTTTCATTAAGTTTAAGGACCTTTTACAGGGTTAAACTCTGTTTCTCCAAACTGAAGTGATTTCAAGAGCTATCAATAACAGGTAAGATTTTGACTGTTCATATCCCTTGTAGAACCCCTTTGAATATTGTTCCAACTGTGAAAATGCCTTTCAGTTTTGTGATAGGACTTATTATTTAAGTCTGATGAGGATTATAAAGTGGATTTAAATTTTTTTGTATTATTTCTTAAGCAGAGATAAGTGTAAAGTTTACAAGGTGGCTTGTTTTAAAAAACAAACTTTGTTGTTTTTATTGATGGGGTGTTTAGCTTCAGGGTTCTTACAAGCTCAGATTTCACAGAGGGTTCCTGTAAATGTGGAGACTTTGCCTCCAGTTATCTCCGCCCACTGGTGCTGCGCTGGGTGGTAAATCAAGGGAACCCTATTGAGAAGTGGAGATCAGATTAGGCGGTCACACAAGGACTGAAACACAGTGAGTATCTAAAACACTCAGATTTGTGCTTTTTACATATTCAGAACTGATACTTTTAATGTTAATCAGATGTTTAGACTGATTGTAAACAACATGTGGGACTAATTCTACTTCTGTTTACTGATCATTACTTCATTTTGCTTTTTCATTTCTGGAGATCGTTGTGTAATCATAAATAAGATTGCTTTTTAAACAACTTAAACGTCTGTAAAGAATCATTTCTGTGACTGAGGAGACAAACGTAGCTGAAAACAGAATTAGATTTGCAGACTTTAATTCTGTAGCTGCTGTAAGAAGTTTCTGTATATTTGATCAGATTTATTTGTGTATTTATATATAAAGAAATAAAACAAATGGAATGCATTCAGATGACTTAAACTTTGAACTATCAGTGAGGAGGTTGACTTAGAGGAATATCACTAACTGATCAAATTCTCTGGTGGCCAACAGATTCTTTCGGGAAATTTGGGAGGAAAAAGGCAAGACCTGGAGCTCTTAGTCATGTTTGTCAAACCTGTTCTGAACAATTGTGGTGTAGAAGCAATGCATAATATCCTGCTGAAACAGGCCTTTGTTAGTTTACAAAGATGGGACTTGTTAAAGGACATTAAAAGTAAAGGGGTCCTGCAGCAGAACATTATCTTTATCTCGCCCTCATTTCTGCAGGTCGGAACTGGCAAACATTTCCACGTGATGTCTTCCATCACTCCGTGGTTCAGTTCTGATGTTCACATAATTTTATTTTTACTAGACGCAGCACTAAAGACTACAGGATCATGTGTAACTTTAGCTCATGTGTCACTGAATCTATCTCCACCTTCAATGATATTGCTGGTTAAACGGTCAACTGTGCAGTGGGAACACCTGACTGGTGTTTAAGAGGTGCTTGGGCTCATTTGTTTTCAGCACATCTTCTTCAAAAATTGCAGAAATTACTGGGTTACGACAACTGAACCTTCTGAAAAAGTTGTCCTTTCCACCCTTATCATATTGTTTTGTGTTTTTCATCATTTTTATAACCTTATATAATGCAACGCAAAGCAAAAGATGGATGCAACATCGGGAGGAGAGAAGAGGCACGTCCGGTGTAATTTTAGGATTGTTTTATTAAGCCTTGTTTCCTCTTCTGGACTTTGTTGGTGTGCAGCAAGTTCAGTGAGCTTCACATTATTTGTCTCAATAAAAAGCACAGAGGAAAAGTTAGGATCAGGAGATAATCAGGCAATGTTTTCACTAACTTGCGTTTGTAAGGATTCATGACTGTTATTACAAACATTTTTGAGATCATTTTACTTTTCAAACTTACTTTTTATCCCAAAAAAAAAACGTTGGTGAAACATAAAAGAGCACGAAAAACAAAATTAGAAATTTGAATGGTTCCTAAAACGAACACTCAATAATGTTTGTAGAATGTACTTACAATATCGAAATTCATAATTATTGCCTTTCCAATTCTGAAAACATAGTAAACAAACAAAAAAAATTAAACAGTCATCTGTGCTTTATACTGCAGTAAACTTTACACACATATATATATATATATTTCATCATTTAATTTTAAATCTTTAGCCATCTGTTTAAATGTGAATTTATAATAATTACTCAGTGCCAGTTAAAATAAGAGGGTGGTTGATCCTACTAAAGGATGTTACAGAAGAATCTACCCAAGGGCCAGCTTGGACCTCGGATCATCTAAAGACCTGATCACATCTCTGGTCATGCCTGAACCTCAGGACAATTATGCTGCGTTCACACCGAACGCGATTTCAGCTTCAAAATCGCAGCCAACGCTGAAGTTTGAAGCTTGTGCACTTTGAGGTCAGACGCAGGTCAGCTCTTGAAGCGCTGCACGGCAGAGCCTCCCCGCCCCTCCCTCCTCTGTCGGGCTCTGTTTAATGTCGGACGAGGAAGTGGCTTTGCTTTATTTACAGAGCAAGAGCATGTCACGTTCATCAGATAATTAATTCATAATTAATTCACAGATAATTCAGAGTAGAGGCTCACAGCTCACTTTCAGGACTATTTTTCCAGTCTGATGAGTCGCTGTCACGCATTGCTGCGGATCAGGACACGACAGCAGKCACTCATTTCAGCTAAAGAGCTCCTCTCCATCTGTTTCAGGTTAGTGGACATCATTCAGTAAACTGTCCCATCAGGAAATATGTCTCTACGTCACACAGTGGAGTCTCTCTGATTGGTTGACGCGGCGCGTCGAGCTGCAAAAGTTCAGATTTTCTAACTTCAGCGATTTGTGCCTCAGCGCGTCGAACGCTCAGATCATTCAAATCGTTCAAATGGCGCTGCTCTAATCGCGCTTGAGGCGCCGCAGAACTTCCCGACGCTGCTTGAAGCGCATCCACCATAGACTTTGCATGTAAACCTGATGCTCCTGATGCTGAAATCGCGTTCGGTGTGAACGCACCATTAATGATAAATCATTTTAGATCTAAGGCAGTAGTGTCCAAAGTCAGTCCTCAAGGGTCAGTGTCCTGCATGTTTTTGGAGCTGCCCTGGTTCAACACAGCTCAACCTAAGGAGTGCTTATTTAGTAGGAGTCCTCAGTATACCATCAAGGCCTGCAGAAGCCTACTAGTTAAGCACTCCTCAGGTTGAGCTGTGTTGAACAGGGCAGCTCCAAAAACATGCAGGACACTGGCCCTTGAGGACCGACTTTGGACACCACTGATCTAAGGGATCAGGTCAGACAAATATACAGGAGTTTCCATTCAAGTCAATAATAAAACTTTAAACTTAATTCTAAAATACGAATCAATGAAGGGAAGACAGCAGTGGGGAAATACAATATTTTGTTTGTGATAAAAGAGATGGAGCATTCTTATCTAACAGTATTAATATATTTTTGCATTTCTAACTGTGATTGTTAAAGATTGTTTATGTTTTTCCCAAGATTCATCTGAAGAGGATGGCTGTCACAGAGGACGACGACTACTTTTACCACGAAAACGCCACCTTCAACTACAGTTACGATGACTACCCATCTGTGTGCGAGAAGGGCGATGTCCGTTCTTTCGCGGCATTCTTCCTGCCCATCATGTACGGTCTTTGTCTGGTTGCAGGACTGGCAGGAAACGTTCTGGTCCTGGCCGTCTACGTCTACCACAAACGTCTGAAGACCATGACTGACACTTTCCTGAGCCATTTGGCCATCGCTGACTTGCTGCTGCTCTTCACTCTGCCGTTTTGGGCTGCCGACGCTGCTAGAGGCTGGGAGCTGGGGGACGGCGTTTGTAAGATTGTGTCGGCCTGCTACACATTGAACTTCAGCTGCTGCATGCTGCTGCTGGCCTGCATCAGCTTGGATCGTTACTTAGCCTTAGCCAGAGTGCAGGGCAAAGACCAGAGCGGGTGGCTGCAGAGGCTCTTCATCAGGAGACACTGTTGGAAATGGTGTTCGGTCATCTGGTTGACAGCCTTCCTTCTTGGGCTTCCTGATTTGATCTTCTCCGAAGTGATGCAGACTCCCGATAGGAGAGTCTGCCTGGCCATCTATGCTTCGTCCATGGCTCGAAGTGGTAAAGCTGTGCTGGAGGTGCTGGAAGTGATGCTGGGGTTCCTGCTTCCTCTGCTGGTCATGGCGATCTGTTACTGGAGCATCGGCCGAGCACTGAGAGACCTCCCCGTTGAGAGCAGAGGCAAGAAGTGGAGAGCTCTGCGAGTTCTTCTAATAGTAGTCGGAGCGTTTGTGGTCACCCAGCTGCCATATAACGTGTTAAAACTGTACCGTGCAATGGATTCATTGTACATTCTGGTGACTCACTGCAGGACGAGTAAAGCGCTAGATCAGGCAGCTCAGGTGACAGAAACCTTGGCACTCACCCACTGTTGCCTCAATCCCATCCTCTACGCCTTCACGGGCTCCTCTTTCAGGCAGCACATGATGAAAGTGGCCAAGAAGTTTGGAGAGAGGAGATGGAAAATGAGCAGGAGGAGACGGGAAACTCCTGCTATAGAGGAGGGGATTGAGATGTCTTTTAACTCCCACAGCGCATCACAAGAAACCAACACATTCTCCATATGAGTTACTGGACCCTGTCAGTGAAAACGAGTTTACAAAGTACACATTTAGTGTAAAATTAAATAAACAGCTTTAACTTACTTAAAAATCACAAAATTATAATTTTTAGTTAGTCGTTTTGTGAGAACATTATTTCCTGAAGAAACTGTTTTTAAAGCAGCCATGACCAATAATGTCCTTCAGCCAGGCATCTTGATTTAGTTTAGAAATTTAAGAAACTGAAATAAGGACACTGACTGGACAGAGTAGTGCTGAGACAAAGTACATAAACAAACAAAATAAACAGACCTAAATTTAAAGAGTTAAAGGTGCAGAAGCGAGTTCTGAGAAAACTGTGGACTTACCTGAAAATTTGAACAAGATCACCTTACAGACCCCCCCCCCCCCCCCCACCTTTGGTTTTTGCTGTGCTGCTTCACAGCTCCTCCTGACAGCAGAGCCTGTCATGAACGCACATGCAAACAGCCATGGTGCATTCGAAACTCACAGAAATTAGCTTGTTTCTCCGCCACTGGCACAGCTGCAGCACACAAGCAGTCTTAAGCTTGAACGAGAGTATCGACACTGGTACGACAATCCTCCTGTCTCTTATTGGCTGTTTCTGACAGGGAGCGGTGTATTTCTGCAAATGGCAGTAGGACCACTGGGCGGAGCCAGATTTTTTTTTTTCACAGATTATCTGTCTCATATTCTGTCTATATGTTCTGCTTTTAAAAAATATGTAAAAATATATTTTTAAAAAGATACTTACTGCAGCTTTAAAAACAAGAATCAGTGTCCATTTGGCTACTTTTAGCTATTAGCTAGTATTGTGCAATTTTTAGCTAGACTTTTGCTAAGTTTAGTTTTCAACTAGCCTTTTTATTTTTTGCTAATATTTTGTTACTTTGAGATAGTGCTACTTTTAATCTTTAAGTTAGCCTCTTATTACTTTTAGCTACTAGCTACTGTAGCATTTTTCTACATTTAGTTTTTCAATACTCTTTACATTTAGCTTTTAGTCTTTGCTATTTTTATCTTTTAAATAACATTTAGCCATTTTTAGCTAGAGTTCTACTACATTTAGCTGTAAAAACACATTTAGCTTCTTTTCAAATTTCAGCTAAGTTCTTCAGCATTCAGCGTTCACACTGGTTTTTTTTTAGAAAAGTGCAAGTTGTCTAGTTTGCTAGAAATCTGCTCAGTTTAAATATAAAAGTGCCCAATTTAACAGACAAAAAGCAGCTTGACAAACTTCTAAGCTGATTAAATAACCAAAGCAAATTTCTGTGTTCTACATCTTTCCCTGCAAAAAAAACCACCTCACTTCACCTCTTTCATGTATCATGTTAAAACAACTCCTTAAAAGCAAACAAAAGCAAATATGTTGGGAACATCTGCACTTTTTAAACATTAAGGTAAACAAATGCCACTTTGAGAAAAAGTAAAAACACCTGTAAGTGGGGTGGACAAGCCAAAAATATCTGCTAATACAGTAGATAAATGTTAGCTCACAAACCAAAGTACAGAGTGAACTAAAGTTTGACCCAAGCAGTTCATGATTTAGTAAAGTGAGTAATGGATCAAAAAAGCTGCCATCTCTTAAACTGCACAGTTTAAAACAGTTCACCCTTTAACTGCAGTGTTTTCTTACTGGAGCAGTATTTAATTTCAAGTGCACAGATGGAAAAATTCCAGAGCTTCTTTTCACAAGATAGGACTGATATATTTTACTGGAAACATTTACCTCCCAGTCTGCCCACCCAGGTCAAAGTACACACCACATAAATTCTTGAACTTTAGACTTCTTGAGACAAAAACAAGCTGTCTCTTCTCTGTTAATTACAAGTTCACTTTAATTATAATCAGCATGAATAAATACAGCAGATCTCCTTGATGTAACACATCTACAGGGCCTGCTAAAAAGGCATGGCGTCGTTTTTGTGCAGTTCTGGCTGAACTATTGTCATTCCAGTTTAATTTTAAAGATAACTACAACCAAACAACCCTCCTGAGTTTATTGTGGGAAGAACATTTGCCATTTCCTTAAGAACTTCCTGCACGTGTACACCTTTTCATTTGGCAAAAACAACCCAAGCTGTGAAACACATGTATCAAGTTATCAAATGTTGATGTTCAGTTCCTGCAATGATGTTTTCCTGAAGAAGAAATGAAAGTTGAAACACTTTTACATCTGTCCAATAATTGCATCAACAGTCATGTGTGATTTGTCTTGTTGATGTGGTTTGTCAAATTGCTTACACCATTACATGTCATTTATGTGTTATAGATTAGCAGGTTCTTGCCCCACCCCCACCATGTATCCCAGCTGATTCAGATCAAGTTTCTCCCGCAAAGTTTTTGCTCTCATGTGGAAACCATCTGAGATACAGCATCTGCTGCAGTGACAGAACAAAACACTTCACTTAGCCAAAAGAAAGAAAGAAAAACAAAAGGGACAAAACATTCCCATCCTGATGTTAAACGTTGGGTAAAGTATGATAAACACTGCCATCTGTAGAATTCACTAACTCCCAAACAAGTTCTTTATTTTTTAACGTTGCTAATTCTATTTATCAGAAAAGCAGAGCCTAAATATTAAATGAACTTATTGGAAAAAATAAATTAATTAAAAAAAGAATTATAATCAGCAACGAAAACATGGCTTCTAATAAGGAAACAACAAATATACAAAATGCCTTTCAAGCTCAAAATATTAACTTTGGTTAGAAATTTGGCACAAATATTGTAAACAAAAATCAGATACTTAGTTTCATTAAATCAAAAAAACTTAAATAAGTGCAAAATGTAGGAGTTTACATTTACAACAGTAGTGGTCAGGAAAACAAAATCTCTAAATGCTTAAGGCCCTGTCCCACTAGACAACATATAGCAACTTATGAAACATTTTTATGTCTAAATTGCTAATAAAAGTTATATATTTGATCAGTTTGTTCAAATTACATTATGTCTATGCCAAAAAGCAGCTTCCTGTTTTTTTTTTTTTTTCAATTCGATCTTCAATGTAGGCGTCTTTAAAATGTTCATAAATTGACATAAGTTGTCTAGAGTGACAGGGCCTTTAAATTGGCAGTGTCAATAATTTAGAAAACTTTGGCATCTTTAGAAGAACAAGGTAACAAAATGCCCGAAAAAACATGACTTATTAAAGGCTAAGTGCTGGTAAAACAGAACATGTGATATGTTACGTAAAGAACGCTTACATGCACTTTTTCAATCTTGTGTAGGAAGTTAAAAAAAATAAGTTACTGTAAAAATGAGCTCAAGCAAAACTGCTTACTTCCACTTTGTCACTAACTGCCTGGAATGTTGTTTTTAACAGAGGAAACTATGAAAATCTCAAAGCTGTATAATTAAGGACCTAACAATGAAAGAATTCAGGTAGGTTGTTTGTTGGCAACAGGTCAGAGTAAACAAGTGTGTAAAGGAATGTAGATGTTTGATCAAGGCAACAACAGGATGTAAAGTATAATCTGCACAACTGCAACAAAACAGTCAAAAGTGTATGTTTATAGCATCTTTGAAGGAAAGCAAAAACATGCTCAGAGTCAGTGCTCAGTAATTGAGGATCTGCACGTCAAACAGGTCAGACACACCTTCATTGTCGTCCAGATTGAAGCTGTAGTCCATACCTGCGTGTGACGAAAATACAGGGTGGTGGAAATAAACAGAATGCAAACAGAAAAAAAATATATATATATATATTATTCTGTATTAAAGTTTTCAGCTTCTTTAGCTCCAGGGGAGAACATTTCAGTCTGCTCCATAAGATGAAGAGAAAATTTTACTAAGAGAGCAGAGTTCTTCTCATTTCAGCAGACCCTCTCACTACTTCAGATCCATGTGGTAGTGATATCAGCCTGGTCCCTAAAGAGACTCATCCAGCTATTTTGATACCTTCCCGCCAGCTCTCTCACACTCCCAGCTGGGAAAGCATATGAAAAAGTGTAGACATGAACAGCAACAGCTGAACGAGTCTGAACCAAAGTCTGTGTTGTCTGCATGACTGTGGGATGTGCACACAGAGATAAGCACAAATCAAAATAAAACAGGAAAGAGACACAAATTCAGGGTTTCACCCCCCACCCCCAGAATATTTGCTAAGCCCAGTGACAGGTTGATAGGGTTTTTTGTTAGAAAATGGTCAAGGTTCACAGCAAATTTGAATATGGCGTAATGTAATTATGTTTTATTGTAAGACATTGTTGACAATACCTAAACATCAACTATAGCAGAGGTCACCAGTCTTTTTGAGACCGAGAGCTACTTCAGGGGTGCAGAGTAACATGAAGAGCTACTTGTTTGATGCATACACACCTCACCTTTACATTATTATTAATAAATAAATTTCATAAAAAATTTTATTCAAGGGCTTATCCATTATATTTTCTTTCTTACTTGGCGAATGTAGGTGCAACAAACACTTCAAGCCAAAGAATTTTGCGTAGATTCTCCTGGAAATAGTTTGTTTTGAAATCAAGCCGGTTAAAGTTTTTTTTTTTATCATATATCTTTTAATGATAGAAATGCAGACGTTCCTCACTCAATAAAGTTAATTTTCCCAAAAAATTTAAAATAAATAAAGAGCGAAACTGAGTAAACATGACAGAACAGATACATCAGACAATTTAACGTGCAGTGGAATCTGCTGAGGTTTCTCTTTTAATGTCTGTTCCCAACTTTTTACTGCAGTTATCTGACTGAGCTCGGCTCATCGACACCAGACAACCTTGTGTTATTTGACCTGAAGACTTTATGGGCTCAGCTACACTACATGTGGACCCATACAGAGAGAACTGCAGACAAACTGATGAGCGATATGTTTGAAAATTTTCAAAGCAGAAAAGAGAGAGAGAATGCACAATTTTGCCCCGGAACAAATGAGACAGTTTAGTAATGTAGGTGTTATGTTGCTTACCATTAGCAGACATCAGCTCATCAATGTCAACAGCTCCTACAAGAGAAATTAAAATATGAGTCAGGTATACTGTTCGATGTGGGTTCCATTTAGGCTTTTTCCTACAACATTAATCAGCCAGGACGGGTGAAACTGTAGAATCGGTGCTTCCTGGTTTTCATATAAATGTTAGTTTGACGTTTACAGTCTTTATAAAAACACCAATGGGCTCAACAATTACAGATTAGCTCAAGGTACAGCATGGAGCCTAAGGTGTTCTTTTAACCTAAAGGTTCTCAGATACCGATCTGATTTGATTTGTTGAAAGCAAGTTAAATATAGAGAGAGCTTTTTTTCACAACCATCGAGGCCTAACGTTAAAATAGACTTAGACTCTAAGGCAGGGGTGTCCAAGCTTTTTTTAGTGAGGGCCAAATACAGAAAAATAAAGAAAGGGCCGGGCCACACACTAGAAGTGACATATTGATACATCAATAATGTGTGTATCTCTAACTCACCTATTGGGCATAAGGTCATAAGGTTTTTATTGTTTGTTTGTTTTTCACATTTTGTAATTAAAATGATCCTTTTTCAGACTACTGTGATTTCATTTCACTATGGGCTATTAATTGAGAAACCTTACAATGAAAGTATATTGGAGCAAATAGACTAATAGCATTTAAATTGTTCACACAGTAAAAGTTGCAGTGAATGAAAAAACTTTGATTTGAAACTTTTCCTTCCATGAATTACATAACCAGGTACACAGTCGCTGTGTTTTCTTTAAAGACATTGAACACAAAGTGAGTGATTGTACTTATGAGGTTAAAAAACCAAAGCCTTTTTCTCACTTTTTGCTCTATTTGTGTTAGAAAATGTTTTACTACTTTCCGTGTGATAATAACAAGGTGTATAGTTCTGACATTTATTATTTGCCAGGCTGTCGTTGCAAATAAGAAGCTCTTCTTAATGTTTTGCCTGATTAAATAAAGGTTAAATAAAAAGTTAAAAGCACTATGAGCCTTGACTGTGGAAAAGATAAGATTACATCTCAACACTGTGTAAAACAATTATTTCTTTATTGCAACCCACTGCTTYCAAAGGTTGTCACAGAATGAGACCAAAGAAAAAGGTTGAATTGACTAAAAATGTTTATTAAACTCAGAAAAAGCTGAACTTCATACATGCTAACACAGACAATAACATAGCCATGTGGATATTCCTGGCATTTTTGTGATGGCCCAAGGCACAAGTTGCGGAGGAAGCAGGCAGCCGCGATGATCTTCACTGCTGTTCTGCACATCACGAAGGTGTCTCCGTCGGCACTTCAGACATCCAAACACTGGCAACACAAATAGTGTTCAATGTTTTATCAACATATCACAAACGCTACATGTTTTCACTTTAACTTAGTGATGGTGTGTTTAGTTCGCTAACAGTAGGGATGTAGCAAAAGCTTTGTGGCTGCGCCACTTTATATTTAATTATTTTGTTTGCCAACTATAAATATTAAAAAAGTACCTTCGGTGGTTCTCATCCGCAGCCTCATTCAACATGTTCCGTGAAAGGAGTGCATATCTGGTCAGTAATTTCTTATATTCGGAATCCGCAACAAAAACAAAGCGTGCGTCCGTCTTGTTTTTCCCAGTGCGACAACCGGAACGTGGTTTCATATGGTAGCTTGGGAAATTGTGTCACTACCACTTACTAGTTATGGGTTTACCACGTAAATGGAATGCAGCATCAAACTGAACGCAGTGTCGCAGTCACAAAAAGGTTCTTCTCTTCTCCTCTTCTCTATAATTTTGTTTCTGTGGCTGGCTCCATCAAGTATTGAAACTGAGAAGTGCAACTGAGTTGAGCTCAAAGTTCTTGTGCAGGCCATATTCAATTATATTTTCAGAATTTGCTACGGGCCAATAAAAACTGGACCACGGGCCATAGTTTGGACACCCCTGCTCTAAGGCCTGAACTCCTTAAAAGAATCAAATGTGAAGCCTCTGAGCTTCACTGCTGGATGCAGTTAAAGACGCAGGTCTGTTTAGTCCTGCAGGATCCGCGGTGTGCGCCTCACCTCCTCGGTCGTCCTTCACGTGCTCTCCAGAGACGCTGAGCTTCAGCAGGCTGCTGACGTCCAGGACAGGCGGGAACTCTGGGCTTGTCAGGTCTATGTGATGCTGCTCCAACACCGCTGCAGGCTGAGCGTGACACACTGCATGGAGCACAACACATGGCGTAGGAATACTTTACAGTAACGAGGTTCAGATTTTTGGACCAGAAAATACACTGGAACAACAAAATTGATTCCATGTCATGATAAGTGAAGTCAAAGAACACTCCAAGCTAAACCCACCTGATCTGGACATCTGTGCAGATCAGATGGTCACCAAGTCTGAGAATTTCCTTTCACCCACAGGCGTCTTCGAACGAGAACCATCTCACGCAACCTACTGTTAGTCACTGTTTTCCAGCAGCAACTTGTGTAAGAGCAAAAATAAATCCTTTTTCAGATGCTGCTAATTCCTCATTCAATCCAGTAAAAAGGCGCTGACCAAGTTTTATTTTGACATTGCTGCATCCCGTTTTCACCTAAATGACATCAATATTTCAACATTTATTCATCCTTTTTCTAATGAATCACTGTAAAAAAAATTTGGAAGTGGTTTATCGGTCCATGCTGCAAGTCTCATAGTCAGGGAAATATTTTAAAGTGTTTTTATTAGTTCTGATGATGGGAACAATCTACAGCAAGTGTTACAAAGCTTTTAATATAGATAAACAAGCCTCTCTAAAAGGTCTGACCCATCAAGTTTGGTTCATTTGATTTAATTAAAGTGGTGTCATCATGACTGACGGAGCACTTTCAATTAACATATCCCAAAATAACATTACATTAGCTAGTTTTTGAACATCTTTGATATTTAATATTTCTGAGTCAGACTGGAGTGAAACTGAAAGCAAAAGCAGGCAGATATTAGACTTAATCCTAAAAGCCTCCTGTGTTGATAAATCAGTGATGTATTATCTAGGTCAGCAGCACACAGCGTGATATCACCTCCACCTTCTTTAGAAGCAGCATTTAGCTTATTTTTATTATGCATCTTTTTGTTTATACTAATCTCCTTTATGTTGTTCAGTTTTAAGATAAGACAATTATTTCCAAGTTTTGACAAAAAGTGGTCCCCAAAGCTTTGTTCTCAGCCTCATATTCACTTGCGACACACCTCAGAAGTGCAGTCATATCACAATCAACTGAAGTGATTTCAGCTTTCACTACTACTTTGTTTTTTCCTGCCAAGATATGTATGACATCTCCTCCTGAGTTAGTTTGAAACCTGTCGCCTCATTCCAGTCAGTAGCTAGACATTAGTTAAACATATAAACAGCTCTCTTGTTTCTGTGATAACCACTGTAGGTGATTAAGAACTGCCAGAAATACCAGAAGAGACATTTGAGTTTTGTACGATTTAAATGGTGTATTTTCATTTAACGCCACAGATTATTTCTGCACAAATAATAACATTCTGAGTGGGACATTTGTCCAATAAACCCTGCCTCTGTCAATAAGATCTGAATGTAAAGATTATGTAGTAAAATATCAAAAACAATTCTTCGCTTCAGTCCGTCAGCTCTTACCCATCTCCACATCCTCAGGCAAGCAGGACGGCGTCAGAACGTCATCGTGGCCCGACAGCACCATCTGGTGGTCTGAGCAGGCAGAGTCCTGGCTGCAGTACAGAGAGGCGGTGTTGGACAGGCTGGCGGGGGTGTCGGGCGGAGTTGGACATATGTCGTTGATTGGAGGCACAGACAAGACCATGGGTACCATGGAGCCCAAGTCTCTGTTGATGAGCAACACCTGGATGGGAGCCGAGTCACTCCGCAGGTTCACCTGGTACTTCTTCTGACCACTCTTACACTTTGGGATTAAAAAAAAAACAAAAACAGGTCAATAATCTCACTTTATCAAAGCAGATCCAATAAATAAAAAGTAACAAAAAGTTAAGACTCTTTGAAATGTCTCGTTCAAGTTTCCCCTCACAGCTGAACTTTTCCCTTGAAAAATATCAAATATTTCTTCAACATCTGCAGAGCTAAAGGATTTAAGACAACATTTCCATAAATGTTACAACACCTACAGTCAGAACGAACTAAAACTGCCAGAGGTTTGAGCATGCAAGACAATGAATGCCTTAAGACCACAAAAAATTGGAACAAACATACACTTTTTTTGGCTGTTTTCTGAACATTGTCATTTAGTGCAGGGCAGAATAAAACTGTTCTTTTACATTCTGGTGAATCAAACTACCATTTCAGGAAGCGGCACCTCCAGCTGGGTTCCAGACGGAGCCACAACGGCCAGAAGGGTGTCTCCGTTGAAAGCGCTGCAGACGTCCTCGTGTGTCACAAATTTATAGGTAGAGAGGTGTCAAGAAAACAGGATTAACTTTTAGAGAAAATGGAGACAAGCCGCCGGAAAAACAAAGCTGTAAGCATTGTGTAAATCAGGATTAGCCTGGGTGCCGTTTCACTGACTGACAATAGTGATTATATTCATAATCCTCCCTTTATGGCCTTTTCTCTGTTCCATAAGAAAACAATGTTGAAAGGATAAAGAAGGGATTTCTTCCTCTTGAAATGAGTAAAATGGGCCTTAAAGTAGAACAATCTGGACAAAAAAAGCTAAAACTTTTCTTCAAAAAAAAAAAACAAAAACAAACACTTAAAACGATTTAACGATAACTTTTAAGTTGAAAAAGAAAATTAATTTTTAAGTAGTTATCTTGCAAGATAGTGACGTAAAATTAACTTAGCATGAAGAAAAAGCTAAATTACGAGGAAAGAAATGCAATGATGACAACAAAATAAAAAACAAAGACTGATACATAACATGACATGAAAAAACGTAGCTAAAGGATATGCTATGGTGCCTGGATCGTGGTTGAGGTGGTTGATGTTCTCCTCCAGCCATTCCTTCTGCTCATCCAGCTCCTTCTCCAGGGCCTCCAGCTCAGAGATTTGGGCCTTTAAATCTCTGACCTGTTCCGGCACCTCCTGAGTTTGGCTGCTTCTGTTCTGTCCTCTGAACATCAACAGAATTTAAAAATAAAAAACTTTATTGCTCTCAACATTAACTTCTACACCAAACAAAGATAATGTCCTCATCACCAGCTAAAACTACAGTAAATATTTTTTAACCATCTGTACTGAAGCCAACTGAAACACTTATTTTTTACCACTTTAACAGTCATAAAAGTAAACATAAATCTTCCAACCTCCACTGAATGATGTTCTTGTCTTTCTTCTCAATCAGGCCCACACCTTCCAGCACATTGGTGATGTCATAAATCCTCCTCTTCTGCCTCACTGCTAAGATATCTGCAGCCTGTGGATCCAGGCAAACATCAAATTAATGTTGACAAGATTTGCAAGATATTGTCTCTATCGCACACGATTTGATTGACATTTATGGGTGTCTAACATTTATATACAGATGAGCAAATATTAAATGTCATTAGGAAATCAAATTTTATGAACAGACACTGCTAGAGAGGAAAAACTAATTATACAGTATGGGCACAGCCACTAAACATATGCAAAGTCACACAGGTTGGCATCAAAATAAAATTTATAAAATAAAAAAACTAAATCCTGGATATGGGCACCAGTGACCCCCGTGACACTGACAGTAAGTACAGATAATGGATAATAGGGGTGTAAGAAAATATCGATACACTGAAATATCACGATATTTCATTTCCCAATACTGTATCGATATTCTAAAGCCCTGTATCGATTTTTTAATTAAGGTTTAAAATGTCAACCTTCTTGCCAGCCGTTCATTTTTATGTTGTAGTTCAGCCTCTGACCACTAGTTGGCAGCAGTGAGCCAGCCATTTGGCTACTCTACATCTTGAGGTAGAGGCC